CCCCTAAATAGCTACCTTTAAGTTATTAACCTATACCTCTTAGGCGTATAGGCTTAAATATAGGTAAAGCTTTTAGATTTCCTTATAGTTAAAGTCTTAGTTAGAACTTAACTAGGACTTACTAAAGCTTTATTAATAACGCTATTTTTCTCCCCTACTAGCTTGTTTCTAGTTTATACGTTCTAGTTCTATAATCCTCTGCTTTAAGGCCTTATATTAGGCTTAGTCTAATTATAGTAACATATTTACTACCTATCCTTTAGGAATTAGTATTTATTCCTTTTCTTATTTAGCTATAGTAGTACTTCTTAACCTATAAAAAAGAAGATTTAGAATTATAATAGACTATTAAAATTATAAAGAAGTATTAGTAATTATAAGTCTTATATTATATAAAAGCTAAATCTTAAAGAACTATTCTCCTGTAATTTATAAGGCTATTACTAGCTAAATACGCCTTACTCCCTAAAACACTATACTAACCTTAAGATAGTTAGGCAGCTGTTACCACCTAGTCTTAAGCAGCGCCCTTTAGTTAAGTGGTTATTATCTTATAACATTAATCTAGTTAAGTAAAAATAAGTTAGATACCTATATTATTTACTACCTATCTAAAAAGCTATAAAAGGGCTATAATAAGCAGGCATCTAGAGCAGCCCTTTTAGAAAGGCAGGTTAACTTATTATAGGCCTAGTTAAATAATATATAGTTATATAAGAGGAAAAAGGTCTAATTATCTCCTAACAGCACCTTTACTACTATAGAGGATATAATCCAGGCCTGAAGTCCGGATCTTAGCAATATAGATAGTCCGGATGAATCTGGGGCATCCGAATTGCCTAGCGAGGCCGAAAGTTGCATATGGGTAGGCGGCAGAGATGGTGAAATAAGTGGTGATGGTGGTGGCGATGGTGGTGATGATAGTGGTTCGGATGTGGGGGTGGTTCGGATATAGGGTGGGGGAGTTAATCACATGCGTATTCCGCTAACTGAACGGCTCCAGTTTACGCTAGGCAGAATTTCCTACTCGCCTTGCTCGGTGTTTTTATTTGGCTCTAGCTGTAAAATATTCGGAACCGCTCGCTGAGAAGTGGTAATTAGCCTGCAGATGTCTCAGATCCTGGTCACGGCTGCCATGAGCTTGGCGACACATGTACATCTCCAGAAGTTGTGTAATACACTACGGGTGCACCATCACGGTGAAACCCTCTCAAACTGTGATCAATAACAGACCGCTCAGCCATTGAATCTCGAGTTTTTTTTTTCGACGTTCTTCCGGATGCTTTGGCAATATAGCTTGGATTGACTGTAGTTTCGAGTCCATAGCGACACAGTATCCCCCAACTGCAAACTGGATGGTCAAATGCGCCACGGCTCCTTGTTATGGTGTTCTCTATTTTCTATCTCTGGGGCAAATTGCTGAAAGCTTCGAGGCTATCCGGCGTTAGTGGGGGGGGGGGTTGGAAATTTTGGGTTTTCCACAACTACGGTACGAGATTAACAAGGTATCATGTCATAACGCTGTCGTCATTAAGGTTTAACACATTGCGCGTAAGAACTTTCCACTAGGTTGTGATACCATTGGATTGTAACCGAGGTAGTTTTCGGACCTCAACATGGAGACCATAAGCGTCGCCAGATGTAAGGCGTTAGTTTCTGCCCCAATCCAGTGGTCTCCTTTTGCTACGAGAACGAACTTCACTACACATAAATCTCAAATCAAATATTGACACCTAAACCAAAGATTTCGATGTAATTGCTCACCAAATCCATTATATCTAATCTTGGACTTCTACTTTGGTCTTGTGCCATGATTTAAAAGGGTGTCCCGAGGCGTTTTGTAGTACGTATCCCCAAGCGACACACGCACCTCTTAGGATAATGCCAGTTCGAAAACCCGTATGCCCCAATCACAGTAGTTTCGTATGACTTAACATTGATCCAGCATTTCGGGGACTCGGGTAGCAAGCTTCTGGAGATCGTCGGCTACGAAGCGCCGATCCCCGACATTGCCTTGCCGAGGTCATGAGTATATTGTGACAATGAGGTCATAAATCTAACATGATGTTAGAGATCCGTCCCCGGTCCAGTAAACCAACGCTGATATTGCGGGTCAATTTGTTAAGCGCTTAGCAGAGTGAGTCAATATAAACCAGGTCGTATGGCCTTGACACTGAAATTGAGCACTTAGATCCGGTAAATAATTGCAAGTGAATTATCTGAAGAAGTTATAAGCCAAATCTGGATGAATTGTTACTCCGTATCTTAAAGTAGCAGGCTGCTACTTTTCTTCTGGCTTGTGATACCTAGGCAATGGTTACCGTTCATAAATATGAGGGCCTCGCCCCCCACCATCTTGATTCAAGATTCTACTTCATATGGAAGCAAAGCTTAACATTTCAGGCATTAGCCTTGATGCTGTCGACGGCCAAATGTCCACGTGACATATCTTTAGGACAGTGGGGTCACAGTATCTGAACTTATTTTTCTATGCCTCTTGTTGAGAGGCGGTCAAGTTTAGAAAGACATTGGTCTTAAAAAGAAATGCTAATTTCGATCGAGCTTCAACTACATAACTAGATAAATACATCAAAAGTCCTTGACAGGTAAAAAGCTAGCTATCCAACCTACAGCTACTATGTTAATATACTGTTAAAGACATGCTGTGACCATAATCATCATATATGGAACACCAATTGAGACCCTCCTATCCGTTTGGTTACATATCGTCCCCGAAGTGATCGGCCGGCCATCTCCGTCTCCAAGCAGGACCATAGATGTATACTACAGGAATGAGAAGTGCAAAAGCAGAAATCAAGCCAGTGTAAATCATCATCGAATGGAAATATCCCATTTCCACAACCCAGTCAGATATCTTAAAGGACAATATGAACGCTAACAAGCATCTGAATGACGCAACATTAACCAACGCTGGACCTGCAAGATGAGGGTAACATTCCAGAACATAAACGGCGCCGATAGTATTAGCACCTAGAAAGCCAAAAGCCATCATTCCAAATCCAGTAAGGAACGTAAAGTAGGAATAGTCCTTCTGGTTGGAACCCGCCAGACCAAAGATGACAGAGCCTATGATGCCACAGAGAGTAGGGAAGATGATGTTGACAAGTTGATTTTCTGGGAGGCGAACTCCACGTTTCTTGGCTATGCGGTTAGCCACCCAGTCGGCAGCCTTTCCGGTGACCAAGGCAACAGCAATGGCTGCGACAAGAACGGGGACAAGGCTGAGGCCAAGTAAGAGGAAATTCCATCTGTAGAAGTAATGGTTAGAGAGATTTCCGGAAATACACTCTAGGTGTAATTACTTACGACCATGGCGCCGTTAGGAGTGCTGGTGCAACTGTATATCCAGCCGCAAATGCACAAGCAATCATCACGCTATTAAGCATAGTGATGAAGAATATATGTGGATAAAAGAATGTTCGCAGCGTGTCAATAAAAGCATTCCAACCTTTTCGCCATTGCACCTCGCCATGAAAAAATGCAATGTTATATCGGAAAGTCCTCGGGGCGTGCTTATAGCCAGACTCATTGCGAGGTACGCCATCTATACAGTTGCTGTTAGCTAATCTCTAGGTGTAGCTGTATATATATGTTATGTATTTGGTACTTACTCATCTCAGCGCGGGTTCTCTCCCACCTGGTCTCTGGCATGAAGAAAAAGACGCCAATGAGAAAAAAGGCAGCACCAGCAGCAGTAATAAAATACATGTAACGCCAACTCAAATCGATGATGATTTGTGGTGTAGCAACGCCAAGTACTATAATAATAACACCTTGAGCCGCAAACACGCCAGAGATCCATGAATTTCGTTGGTGGACAAAGATCATGTCTTGTAGAACAAATGGAATCAGACTCTCAACAGTACCGGCACCAACAGCCTGAACGCAACGAGCCAACAAGTGTGATGGTAACGAGCGGCTATTCCCTGCCCAGATACATCCCATAATAGCAATAACGCCAGTAGTCAGAACGACTGGACGACGACCGACGGAAATAGCCATTGGAACCAGAAGAAGATTGGATAAGCCGATGACCAGGACGGGAAGCGAAGCCAGAAGGTAGATCTCGATAATCGGTGGGGCATTCGGTAACATGGAGAGGTATTTCAGCGGATCAGTGTTGGCAGGAAGACCACCAGATGCGGTTAGCGACTTGAGGAGCTTCGGATCGATGCCTGCGTACTCCAGGGCGAAGACCGGTAACATGGCGCCCAAGATCAACTCAGCGGCAGCGGCCAGCGCACCAAAGCAGGATAGACAAAAGCAAGCTAGCAGTTTTCGTGATAGTGGTAGATTGAGGGGATCCCGCGGATCTTGTGTTGGAGCTGGTTGAAGAATGAGCTTGCCATCTCTATATAGGGCACCTTCCTGTGCCTGCGCTTGCGCATCAAAGGGCGATTGCATCGATTCCAAGTATCGAGTATCATCGTTGTATTTTGTTGACGGCGTATTGTGGCCGTGGTCAATCTTTTCGTTCTCGCGTGGCCAAGCCGTTACATGAGATCTCGAATTTGCTGGGGGTCCAGCGTTGTGGAAAGGAGGTGACTGGGAGGGCTGGGAGGCAGGAGAGTAGTTCATACTTGAATCTCATCAAATCAGTATGGTGTTCCACGAAAGAGATAGTTGATGATGATACTCAAAGAAAACGAAGTCTGACAAAACTTTGCAGGATGCCTCGGGTGGTATTTAAAATCTGGAATAAGAAGCGATGGCTCTGCGCGCGACCCTGACTAAGAGGGAAGCCATCAGAGCAACATGCTGCATCCTAGGAAACCCAACCACTCAAACGTCAGCGCCAATATTATAGGCTTTCACATTTCAGACTTTGAGCCCTGCCCCGCGAACGATTCCCCGCAAATTGCCTGTCCATCGCCGAATCCTTCAAACCTCTTTAAACTTATTTCATTGACGTCAGCGCCGTTCTGTTGTCGCACCTTTGAAATGTCTACATGCTTGTAGGGATATCCTTGTGTTGTTTAACACTTGCTGACTCTCCGACTTCCCGTATATTACCCAGGTTAGTATTCTTGGCAAGCAAACCCGCCCAGGCAAGCGGTATTTATACCAGGCTGCTAGCCAAAAGTGGCATCCGATGCTAGAATACCGACCCCATTACCTCTATGACCTCGGCAGACCGGACATATCCTTAGAAATCGCCGAGAGTGGTTATGTTTCCTGCGCAGTTCTCGACGACCTTGTTATCGCAGGCTGACACATTCAAGACTTGATGATCAAGTCATTCGCGCCTCGGCTTTCATTCATTCATCATGTCCGAAACTTTCACAAAAGATGGAAACGAGTAATTCTCGACCTTTGTGACCAAGAATAGAAATACAATGTCTCAAAGGTTCCAGCTACACCTAGTAGTTGTTATCTTTGACGTAGCAAAAGCAGATAATATGTCCATTACCGAGCTTGGTTGCGCCGTCAGCCCACGCAACATTCGCCATTATGATAGGACTTCAATGGGGAAGGGCTTTGGCGGCCAACATCCAGAGACATAACATCGCAGCGTCGATTCACGCCCGAAAAACAATGAGCAGGCCGATCGCCACAGAGGGCACATATTGTGGTGGCTAGTCGCTTTGGGTCAAGTTCCAATACTAGTATCAGTGTATGATCTGCACCCGTTTCTTCCCGGTACCTCGGAAACACTGTGTGATGAACCCCAGCGTCTGATCATTTCGGAGAGAAGTAGTTGATTCTTCTAAGTATGCGTACGAGAGAGATATTGGGTAGGAATACTCTGTTCTGATGTAGGTCCATCATTTGGTAAAGCACGCCTGTGGCGTTCACCACTGGTACCAGCCACACGAAGGTGTCCCAGCTTCACGACACACTGCAAACACAGGATACAAAACACCAAGTGTCCAATAAAGGCTCAAGTCTCAAGTAGTCTATAGGTATGCAAAACTTCAATTCAAGTTTGTTTTCGTCAAATGTCTTAGCTTCAATAAGTGTAGTCTAGCAACTTGCGCTGAGAGCTCCAAGAAGATTTTGTTGATATAATATCAATATTTACTGTACTTACCATTACTTGATGATTTATAAAAACTCAATCTGAAGCTGAAAGTGCCTGATTAGGCCGGAGTGATGTGTATTGAGGGGAATAGTTGATCTGGGATAAGCAACACGTTGGATGCTACGATGATTGTCGATTCTCTAAGATACCAAACAAACCTAATCAAGTAGTTAAGTCTGAGAGGAATCTGGCCGCACACAGCAAGCTATGAGCTACATTGTAGAGTAAGAAAACAGAGTGACGGCGAGAAAAGCGTATAGTGATTCAGTACTATTATAGCATCTAGTCAACGTTAAAGTTCTTCGCCGAAGCTACAGTGTCTTGATCATGATATGCCACGTGTCTTTGTAGTAGAGCGTTTTCATCACGGAACACAACCTTCGGAAGAGACGTTCAAAAAGACTAAACTAAAAGCAAAAAGAAAAAAAGGTCTGAAGGACCTCTGCTGTTACATGTCAGTATCAGTTGTAGCTCGTACTGTCACTTGTACAGAATGGTTTCAAAGCCAGTAGATATAATGCCGGACAAGAAGACGTGCTGGCTATGAATGGTTGGCTGTGTCGTCATGGTGTGTTAAAGACGGATCGCCTGCTAGACCAAGTGGAACGATAACTAGATAGATTCGGGACAGAAATACGCCATTTTTCACTGGCGGACCGTCGTATCAGGAATAGGATAGGATTTCATTCAAGTAGCTGACGGCTATTCCGATCCTTCACTGATCATGCTCTATAACCATGACGGGCAGTTCACCGTCCAGACATATTTTTTAGTTATATTTCACGCACTTGCTATCTGCCGTATGCCTTTGGTGCCCATCCGACCAAGTAAACAGTCACATCTTCCATCATATTGACTCAATATTATGTTGATGACTCTGGAACCCATTGCTTATCTGATGTCGTTAATAGTAAATTTCGAAAACAAATACTTTGTTCACGCATTGAACATTCTTTCCGGACCGAAGGTTGCATCCGAATAGATGGCCTGGCACTTACATCCATTCGACCTGATCGATCAGATAGGTGCAGGCCATGCATCCTTCATTATATGAGGAGCAAAGAGCGGACCCATCATCATCCACGCTTTCGAATCAAAGACTACAAGGAGGTATATCTTGTCCTGGACTATGAGGCCAAAGATTGACAGCCACTAGGCCTCACACTAATTAGCGCCTACTGGCCATGCACGAAACATGTGCAGTGATTGCAATCCCGTATGTAAGCTAAGCGTGATGGATCTGGCTTCGAAAACTTCGATCTTCGGCCCAAGCATATATGCATGTAAACCTTTCTCCATTTTGAATCTCGTTTTATGCACTACGATATGTAGAGTGGCGGACTCCCTATCGGGTATACCCAAGCATCAGGGCGAAAAGGACCACTGAGATACGTGGCCATAAGCTGTCAACATGCTGTGGGTCCAGGCCATCGAGATTAGGTCTTGTAGGCCATGGGAGATTTGCCACACCCTTCGCGATGTAGACTGAATACCGTCGACGTGCTGAGCAGAATGGCTCCGAGGGAGAGATCTCGGCGACAGCTCATGGATAGTTCTTACAGGTATTCAACACCAGTACCCTAGTAACAATGACCGGAATATTACGCTGGGGCAGCTTCAGTAGCAGTGCTAGGCATTGGGAACTAACGAGAGGCTAGTTTTTTGGATGCCACCTTCATCAAGGAGCTAGAATTGACTCGGGCTTGTAGACGGCCACGAGGCGCCCCTAGGCATACACCTCCGTTTCCGATTGGGAAAGTCCCAGAGGGCGCCAGGATGAAGCCTTCACCGCAAGTGCCAACCAAGCCGGAAGTCTGTCCATTCCCTAGTGTGAGGTGATGCAAAGAGGGAGAAAAAAGAAATACCTACATCGCGCCGTGTCCATTGCAACTATATTTATGGGGACGTTTCGATGAGGTTGAGGTGATCTGGAATCGGCTTGTTCCCTGCTTCAAAACCAACGTGTTCGGGTTATTGGAACCATGTAGCTCAGACACCGCCATTTCTTGCTAGGACAGTCCTGTCCACGACGCCAGAAATAACTTGGCCGGTGTTTGATGCCTGTGCCCTGTTAATCGCAATGCAGGGCGTGCGCTAGTGGTCGATCTATCAGAGCTATTGTCCAAGAGAAAGACGATGGCGAGCAATCGGGCGCCAAAGCTGAATGATTGTCACTGACCAAGTTGGCATGAACCACATCTGTGGAGGCGGCCCAGCTGATTGATAGGTAGCCCAACCCCAGCCCCCTTCCCCCCGAACATTGCGTAGGTATTTCCTCCCGAAGCTGAGCTTGTGATGGCGTAGTGTCTGTGGTGCAGATAACTAGGCTGTCGGAGAAGGTACAGGTTCGTCCGGCGCTTTACTCGAAGAAGCATCGGCTCGATCAAGGACAACCCAATCTTTCAAATCGCCTGACACATGCGGGAACGAAGAAGCGACGAATGATGCTGTGAGGGGGGGGGGGGGGCCGTGGGTCGATGAAAGCTGAAGGTGGCTGGTGCCCACCAAAAGGGCTTTGTTACTCCGTGCGTTTGAAATCGGTTCAAGGTTTGTTTCGATCTCGGTCGTGACGGCGGCTCGCGTCCTTGACGAGGGTAGATCGGACGGTGTTTCCGCTAAATTGACATCTTGACCTATGCCTTTCAGCGAGCGAAGTGAAGCTCAGCAATTGCCGCGTGCCACTTGGCGGTGTAAGGTCGCGTCCGAACTTTTGAAGCATCGGACGTCTGGCCGGAACCAGCACCTAATCTTCAGCTCAAGGGCATAAATACAACCGGCACTGTACAATAGTTATAGAGGAGTCGCGGAACACGCGAAAGGAGTTGTGGACAACGGAAATCCTGAGGCGATGTGCGGTTGCGATGCGGGCAAGGAGTACGAGCCCCCACCACGGCGCAAGCAGCAGGCATCAAGCGTGTGCGGGTCCTGAAGATCTCTGACGACTCGTGTGGGGAACATCGAGTTCACGCTCCCCTTGGTGCTGCTGTGGTACTACGGCGGAATGGAACGACGAGAGCAGAAGGTGTTGCGTCGGATCCGTTGGTTTCGGGCCTGCAGTCTACCGCCGAAAGGAGGGGGGGTTTGATGTGGAAGAGCCACCTCAAGCAATCAACGAGAACGTCGTCTCAGATGAATCATCCGCTTGATTGTTCCCTGCGAAAATCCCGAATCTGCAGCGGGCTCTGCAGCGGTATGGAGGGTCTCAGGTCCTCTTTGGGGGACTAAGCATGGAGACGCAAGGAGGCCGAACAGCGAACCATGGTTAAGAGTCCTGCTGAGCAGGAATGAGGGATAGAACCCCACAGGTCAAGTCCAGTCACAAAATGCCCCAAGGGCAAGGAAGGTGAGTCGCAAACGAATCGAATGCGCACCAATGAATCCACGAGGGCTGCATCATGCGATTGTTGGTGGGGGTCGTGTACTATGTAAAGTACCCTCAAGTACTCCGTACTTGCAATTGCTATACAAACCTCCACGCTAAGAGTTCTGAAGTTAGGCTGTCTTATTCATGACAGGCATAGCCCAGGGTACTGCCACTGGACCATGGATCTAGGGT